AATTATTTACCCGAGATGAATAATAAATTGTCGCTCTCAAGATTCAGTTTATAATGGGAAGACAAATTTTAATAATCTGCTTATCCCAAGAGAGACTACTTACAACCCTTGCTTAGAATTTCAAAAGCTTTGATATTTTAATAATTTGGAATAATGAAAACATGACAATAAGCTCATTATGTGACAGTTAAAGGAGAAAGTTTTTCCACCTGACTGGAGATGCACCCACACTGTGTTCCAGGGGAATGGTCTGGGCATACTTAATTGGACTGCAGCCAGATGGGTGTAAAAAGCTCTACCAGCAGTCTGTGGAACTTTCTAAACACATACAATAAAAGCTCTCCTACAGCAAATTTAAAGCAAACACACGTTTTACAGATGTCATTTTCTCTTTGGCTCCATGAAGAAGCTGCTCCAGGTTGAGATAAGCTGTGACAATGAAGCACCGTAGTCACTCAGTACTGACTCCACAAATGAATGTTTTTATTCTACACCAAGACCTTTGTGATTTAGTTTTTCCACTTCTAAAGAGAATAGTAATGATTCCTTTGCAGCCGACCAAACTCATAATTAGCAGGAAACAGGTTATTTGCAAAAGCTATGCCAGCTATTTTCACAATACATTTGATGTCATGATTTCAAAATTCTGCAGTGAGAAAAGATTCCTACTCTACCATTACAGGTTTTTTCCATAAGAGCTAAGAGTAGGAAAAAAATACCTGAATGAATGCCAGAAATGGAGCATGCAATCCTAGGGATGATTGTTACTACAGTTTCTTTATTAAGAAGTACCCACTTCCAGTGAGCCTGGAGCTATTCTTGGGTTAAATATTACCCAAGTGAGTAAGCAAAGGACTGCATGTCCTCTGAGGTAGCTGTAGGACCGTTTCTACTTCCAGGGAAATCAACGTAAATCCCACATTTCTGCAGAGAATGAAGCCAAATTGTTTCACTCCCTTATGGATGTGTGCCTGCACCACATGCTCTGTGTACATGTAAGATGTTTCTCCAATGACCACTTGACAGTAACCCAGGGTTTACAAACAGAAAATTCCTACCCTCCTATAAAGAGAATAACATTAATCTTTGTGACAGAAAATAAACCCCCCACTTCTCCTGCTAATCAGACATGCTTCCTTTCTGTAACAGGAATTATATCACTGCACTGATGGGAAGAAGAGAAAAGGGATTTTTTAATGATTGTTTTATCTATCACTTTCACTGAGACAGAAATTCAAGACTGATTCACATATGGAAACCCCAAATGCCACACAGCAAAGCATTCATCTATGGACAGGAAACAGTATGGGTTTGATAGGCTACAGTAAAGGTTATGCCACCTTTAAGTACTTCTTAAAAGACTGCATGGACACCTTCCTTAATACTTGACAAAATACTTCCTTAATACTTGACAAAACAAGGCACACATCAAAGCCTTTAATCATATACAGGGTATACAAGTGAAGTGCAATTTCTATATGGCCCTACAGATTAGTCTTGATCCTCTAAAACTGATTCTATTAAGGCATGTTGTCACCAAGCCATGTAGAAACAAAAGGATACAGGAAGGAGAAAAAAAAAAAAAAAAAAAAAAAAAAAAAAAAAAAAAAAAAAGTGGCATTTGAAATAATGAGACTACAAAGACTAGTGCAAGTACCAAATGCAGATGAGATCAGGAGGCAATGCAGAAGGAGCACTAAATTACAGTAACTGGTACCAGGGCAAAGAACACAAAGTCTGAAAGTCTGTAGAACAGGCTGGTTTAATGTTTTTTTTTTTTTTTTTTAAGACATACTTTCAGTGAGACTGGATAAGTACATGAAGGCACAGGCATGCTCACAGGTATGAATGTAAAATACCAGTGGGAAGGAGCAAGACTTTCTAATAAGCTCTCTTGAGGTATAACAACTGATCTCTGTTACATGAGCAGTAATGGGAAGTTTTACTTTGCCTTTCTGTTGATTTTTGTAGCTTTGGAGGCTAAAATTAACTTTTTAAAATCTAATAATTTTCAATCTGACCCAACTAAAACCAAAATAAATTAATAGATAAATAGCTGAATTGGACTCAGTCTGTTCCTTAAATAAATACTTTTGTCTGTAAGTTTGCAGTAAGCACTTTGCTTCTTCATTAGACTCATAGAAAATGCAAAAAAAAGAAATTCACACTGAATTGAAGGTTACAAACTGTAACCTTCACTATGAACCTAAGAGGCAAAATCCAGCTTTGGTGGCAGCCTTCATCTACATAATACATCCACAAATAAGACTGCAATTCACAGTGCACCCCATATGAAACATGATCTGAATATAGAAAAGATCTTCCCTATTTACCTGCATCTGAAAATCATGTGGATGTGATACAGACCACATTTTTGTGGGGAAAAAGTCAAGCCAACTGGAAGCTTTTTGAAGCTACAGTACATCAAGTGGGATTTTAGCCATATATAGATGTGAAACCTTTTTTTCTTTTTTTTTTTTTTTTTTTGATGGTGTAACACTGCTGCAAAAGGAGAGGTTTGGATCTGAAAAAGAATTTTCTGTTGCTTCCTTAACAAATGGGTTTTTTCCTTTCTGTTCTCCTTTCTGGTTCCCTATTCATGTAAAAATTATCCCAGGCTCCAGGACACACTTTCTGTTCAGAAGGTTCCTGTAAATCAATATCCTTACAAAAATCTCCTGCAAAAAATGTAATTGCTGCATGTGTAAGGACACATAAGCCTTTGCTTTAACAGCTCATGGTCTCTGTCAGCTCATGATTCAGCTATCACATTAATTCTATAAATATATCAGAATGTTGGACTTAAGTGGCTTGGGATACTAATTTTGCTCACTTATTTTACTTGAGGCTCCCAGCTGCCTTAGAACATTAATCACACAATACACTGATTGGCGAAGTGCCTTAGTGCCTCTATCAAATAGAAGAATGATGCAAAAGGCCCTTTGGAAATATTCCTGGGAAAAAAAGTGAAGCAAGAGATGGAGGAAGAAACAACCCATGCCCTACTGTTACTAATGGACATGATGCACAGGAAGAGCTGGAGTTGTACCCTGAGGCTGGGGGAAAAAAGTGGGGATAGTGAGGGCTCCCACAGGGCTCCCAGCCCTTCCAAGGAACAGCAACATATTCTTGGACTTAGGTTGTTGTCTCCATCACACATTACTGAGAATTCTGCTGCCTTCCGCTGTACACTCTGCATAGACATTATATAATTTGTAAAGCAATGAACTCCGGTTCAGACACCATGGATTAAAACTTTAACTGCAGAACAAGAACAGTGCTTTCTGATGGGCAGCCTACCACAGAACTTGGACATGACACCAAGTGATAAGCTGAAGTCAGTTTCTAGACAGATGTTTAGAAGAATAAATGTGTAAGGAGGAGGATTTTACACAGGGCACTAGATTTCTACTTCTGGAAGAGAGCATCTGTGGAACAAAATTCTTTAGAAGGATTCTGCTGGGATGAACTGTCTTGGACTAGCTGATCTTTCCTCCCATTTTTGAAGGCCTACAGGGCTCTATATGTGAGACCAGCTTTGTACATTCCTGACCTCAATATGAAATATTCCTTCTCTCCCTTCACCCTAAATTATGACAGATTTTCCCAGAGTGAATGTTGTTCATTTCCACCATGCTACTCCTTCTCCATTACATCTCTACTCTGCCCAAATTACACAGTGGCATCCAGTGCCTGAGGGAATGTGGGTGTGTGGATGAATATTCATAAGATAGCTTCCATTCTTAAGGGTGACACACAGAACAGTTTCAAGGACATTACCCAAAATGCAAACCTTGAACTGTACTGAGACTTTTGTTTTCCTAGGGAGGGACTGCTGCAGATTCTCTCTGTGGGATGACTCAGTTCTTATGGGACCATAAGGAATCTGAAGACAGCATGTAGGCTGCAGATGCAAATTCTGGAAACTCTCTTGGGAACAACCTAACAAATAATATAAAGAAGCCAACAGCTCATCTGGAGTTTCTAGCCTAAGAAAATGGTACAAGAGGGCCCTTTAGAAGGCAGAGTTGACTAAATGGTTTCCCAAATTCTGTCTTGGGAGTGATCAGCAGTGCACCACTCTACCAAAGAAACAAAAAAAAAAAAGTTTACAAAAAATTAAAATTCAGACATTTCAGACCATATGCTGCTGATAAATACTGTGATCCTGGTGAGGAGAGAAATGAATCCCATGAGTTTAATTAAAAAAAAAAATCCAAATGCTGAAGTGAGAGAGTTGGCAATGGGGAGAAGATTTTTATTATCAAAAGGTGCTCTTTGTGAAATACTGTGAGAAAAAGACTCACTGCTGGATCCCAAGCTACAGCATCCACATTTCAAGAGGCTGACACTGTTAGGAATCTTCAGAGAAAGTAAACACATTTTTCTGTGTATTTCTCAATAACATTGCAATCATACTTCCTTTTTGTAACTAAAAAGAAAAATAAACAGAATGTTTTTTTCTTTCAAGCAATTATCAAACACCTTCAGTGTAGACATAGAACAAAATGCTTAGCAAAACTCAATCCACAGACATAATCTTCCAGAGGCAATAAGCAAGATGAAGGAAGGATGAACATACTTGTTCATTTCCAGTGGGTGCATTAAAAGAGTAAATTTTAAAATCTGCTTTTTAAAACCATGTTTAAAATCATCAAACTCTGTTTGCTTTTCTTCCACACAGAGCAGACAATCATCATCAGAAAATGACCAAGCCATATTTTAGGATATAAAACACTCCAAGGACTAATGCCAGCAGGACTGATGATTTGGAATACTAAAGACTAAGAAAACTCTTTTGTTACACACACCTCAAAAGAGGAATCAATGAAGAGGAGATAAGTAAATAATAGAACAACTAACAGGAAGATTAGCATTAGACTTTGGCATCGAACAGCAAATGAAAAGCAGAGATGCTATAAAGATTACTGAAGAAGGTGGAGAACATTATGGAGATGAGACATCACTTTTATTAACCAAACCTGTTTAGAGAGACAAAACCCAGCAGCCAGATCCTGACATGCATGGGTGACAAGTGACAAAGGGTTACTAGCAGTGGATGTGTGGGAGAAAGGCATCCCAGTCTGAGGTCGGTACTTTTCCCTGTCTAAACTCCATCACTCCATAGTGGGCTGCACGGCACTTTGACATTTCCAAAGGAAAAACCATGGCTTGAAGAGTCTACCAAGTAAGAAGCTGCTGTTCAAACTGTCTTCTTTTTCCATACTGGTGTTTTCCTGAGATTTAGAAGACTGTAACAATTCAATGTAGAGTAGAGCTGCGTGGTTGAGTCCAGCCCTCTTCGATGGAATAACTGCACACTAGGCAGTTCTTGAAACCTCCTGTTAATAGCACTTTCCCTCATCACATTGAGAGGTGATTGAGGAGAGCACTCATCTTGGTAGGCAGCTGGCAAGTGCATCAGGCCTTGGTATGGTCACAAAGTTCATGGTGCAGTGCAATAGTGGACAGATCTTTTCATGATCCTTCAACAATTCACTCAAGTGTTTCATTTCATCTGTTAGCTTTCCGATTTCTCTTTTCAGGGAGGTATTTTCCTGCTCAAGAGACTCATATTCCTGGAAGGAGGGGAAAGAAAAAAACCAACAACTTACAGTCAAAACATTCCTTTCCGTGCTTCCACCTTGAGTACATTCACTTAAGAGTAGAAAAACAGTGTGGTTTCTTACTACAACTTACATAGTGCTCAGGAAAGGCAGACCCAGCCTGGGTGCTGGAACAGGGCAAGTGCTTTACCACCTGTGCCCTGATCACACTGCAATTCCTTTCATGGCCCTGAAGACCAGGAGGTGCCGCTTGCCCTCAGAGTCTCCTAGGAGCCCAGGGCTGCAGGCATGGATGGCTGTGTCCCCATGGTGGCCTCTTCCACTCTGGGCTGCCTCTGATGGGAAGGGCCAAAATGGACTCTGCACGGTGAGATCAGAGAAAATGAAAGCACTGACTGCTGAGAAGTGCTGGGAAAACCCGGTGCCTGGAACTGCTGGTGAGAGAAAGGTAGCCCCTGCCCCAGGGCAGTGCCAGGAAAAGCCATTTATCCAGGCTAGCACAGAATGTCCAGTGCTCTCCTCCAAGCCTGGCAGACAGGCATCGAACAGCCACCTGCTCAGAAGCCCGAGAACTCAGGAGGAGGGAAGCATCATACCAAAATGAGGCCAGATTCATTTTGTCACCAGAAGGCCAGACCACTGCCTTTGGTTATCCCTGACCTGTCTGCTTTTGAGCTGAAGCTTCTCTGGCAATAAATAAGCTGCTATTAAGTGCAGAGGAATTTTGAGTTGCTCTGCAGCATCCATGTGATGGATGCAAGACTCCTGTGCCACATTTTTTTATAACTGTGTGTCTCAAGTGTCCCTGCTTCTAAGCCTTCCCATCCTGAAGAGCAGAGAGCTAGAGGTTCAGAGCCAGGTCACTAAAAACCTGCAGATGGATGCCTTGCTGCTGGCCCAAGGCTCAACATTCACCCAGTCAATCTCACCTCCCTGGGAAAGCTTCAGAGCAAACTTCAAAGCATACACGTGCCTTAAAAGGCAGCAGGGAGAGCACCTCATGCGGTGTTCTGGGCAGCCTGGCACTGCCTCTGCTCCCCTTTGCTGCAGAACTTTGGGCTCCTTGCCCTCCCTCACACCCTTGAGCCACCTCTCACAGAGTAAAACAGGCACAGTCCTCCTAACACAGCATTGGAACCAAACTCAGCCAAGTTGTCCGACCCCCACTGTCATTCTGCTCATCTCTTGTTGCCCCAAACCCCATGGTCCCAGGTTTTGGAATAAATGTTGCTGTCCCATTGCTCTGTTTCATTTTTCAGAGGTGAAACTGTCACATTGTTCTTGCTAAGAACGAATGTCTATTCAACCAGATCTGCCTAGAGCTGGCAAAACCTGTGTGCCTCAAAATGAAAATTCCCAGCACAAGGAATATCCTCAAGTTCAGGAGGAACATCAGAGAGGTTGCAGGATGGCACAGGGCCCAAAAATTATTCCACAAAAGCCAGAGGTTACCCCTTTTCAGAACTACCCTGCACCTGGCTTTCTCAGGCGCTGACTCAAGAGGAGATCTGGGAAAAAACCAAGCCCAAAACTCCCCACATTGTCCCTCTTAGTCTCTGTTAACTGCTGGCAGATCTTTCCACAGTGAGAAAGAAAAAAGCTGGTGATGAACCTTCAGAGCTGAGCAACTGACTCAGCCACAGTGGCAGTGTGCTGCAAAACTGTCACTTACCCCAAAAGCTGACTCCTGGCTACAAGAGCACTGTACCAGAGCAAAGGGATCCCTGTCCTCCAGTATTTGCACTGGGGACACAAGAAAAGCACACCACATTGTGATATTAAGAGCTTCTGGAAGAATCAATTACTTTCATTGTATCTGTTTGAACACCCACTGTTACTTTTCAAAGCATACAAGGGTAACAGCTAGCCAAGCTGAGCTCTCACACTTGCAGGTTCCCAAGTTCCTAAGAAACCTTTTCAACTGGGTATGTCTGGGAGCCCCAATGCTTAGTGGCAGTGCTGGCACCACAGTTCTAGAACTGATTTAAGCCAGCATTGCCACTGCATGGCCCCCTCCCCTTCCATCACCTTCTACCTTGTAAGACAGCAAGAATTCATCCACTGTCACAGCAAACGTGACAAGCTTAACATTAATACAGAAGAAAATGGTTCTGGTTGAGCCCAAAGGAGCCCTGTGATCCCATTCTTTGGGTGATCAAAGGAAGAGCAAAAGAGAGAGGATGAGGCATGGGCTGGACCATGTCTCTCTCTTCCTAGCAGCATCGCTGAAGGCAGAGCTGCACTGTCCAAGAGCAGCATCAGCGTCTGGGAGTTCCCAACCAGGCATCCCACAGCACACCTTCTGTGCCTCACACCCACAGCTCTCTGAGCAGGATTGTATGAAGACAGGCCCACGCCTGCTTTAGAATTCCTGTTTATTGTAAAGTCCCGTGCTTGGTACCCAAGCCATGCCTGCAAAGCACCAAGTACCCATTCACCTCGTGAAGTTTATCTGCTTTCTGAGTTTGCTTCTTCCGGCTCCTCTGTGCAGCAACTCGATTTTTTTCTCTCCTCCTTACTTTCCTGTCATCTTCTTCACGACTCTGGAAGACATCAGCCATAAACATTTCACTAGTTCGCAAGGTGCACATAGAAGATGACCGAAGTCGGCTGTGTAACTTTCTGAGAACGAACACTTCCAGTTTTACAGCGCTGATCCTCGGTCTCCCAGAGACCACAAGATCTCTGCAAAGAGCAGCGCATCCCTCTGCCCCACTGCACAGGCGGATCCGAAGCGGAGGGGTGGAAGCCGGCAGGCTGCCGGGGGATGCAGTGCTTAGCAGGGGCACTGATATTGATGGGGGAAGCTGGGTACCCGAGCGGGGACGGGCACTCCCGCTCTGCCTGGCGGGCAGCACTTTACACCTGCCTCGCTCCAGCGCGGCCGACGGGGCGGAGGTGCGAGCAGCGTGAAGGAAAGCCCTGCTCCCTTCCCGGCTGCCCGCGCCTCGGGAAAAGCCGCTGCCCGCGCCGTGCCCCGGCGCTTTCCGCGCATCGCCGGCGGCTCGCCCGCGCTCCCACCTGGGAAGAGCCAGCACGGCGGCCGCCTCCAGGGAAAAGAAGGGCCGAAACCCAGGGGCAGCGGGCATCCCCGCCGCGGCGCTGCCCGGCGTGACTCAGCCCCATGTGCCCGCTCTCCCGCCCGCAGCGCCCACCGCCACCCGGTCCCTACCTGCTGGCCGCCCTCGGCCGCCGCGCCCCGGGACAGCGCGCTGGCCCCCGCCGCCGCCGGGACGGCGCACGACATCCTGGAGCCGCCGAGCCGCCCGCAGGGCTCCCCCGGCCCGCGGGGGGTGCGACTGCCGGGGAGCGGAGGGAAGGGAGTACAAGGGCAGGGCGGGCCGGGGCGGGTCGGGCCGGGGCAGGGGACGCGCCGCCCCGGGCCGGGGGCGCCGCAGCCAGGTGCCGGAGCGGCCCGGGGCGGAGCCGCCGCCCACATGGCCGTCACATGGCGCCCTCCTGCATCGGGAACCCGGGAGCACCCGGCCGCCCCATCCCGCACTGCTCCCCCGCGGGGACCGCCCCCCGGGACCGCCGGCTCTCGTCAGCCGCCGGGAGCCGGGGGAAAGTCCGGGTCACGGCGCTGCCGGGCAGGAGCTGCCTGAAAATCCCCCCGGAGAGCCCCAGCCCCAGGGGCCGGCTGCGTTCGACGCCCCTCCGGGAGGCCCGAGTCGCTCTTTCGCCTGCAGAAATAAACTCCCCGCAGTTTCTCTCCTCTCCAGGCTGCCGCCGGGAGCCGGCCTCGCCCCCGTGCGTCTCCCGCCGCTCACCTCCTGCCGCTCCTGCACGCCGCGCTCCTCTGACATCGGCTCTCTGAAGCGGCGACAGCTCCACATGGGGGACAGCCAGCGCAGCCCGGGATCGTGGGTGTTAGGACACGGCATCCGTGCTGGGATAAAGCGATTTTCACTTTCGCTACTCACCCTGTTCCTTTAAATAATAAGGAAATGCGACAGACTTCTTGTAAAGGCAAAGCCAGACAAAGACTGCTGGACATACAGTTGCTGCAGACAAAAATCTTTCTCTTCTACTATTCTGTCAAGAGTATCTTAACAGAACACTGTTTCTTTTACCTCTCGGAACACCTTTCTGCATTTTAATTGCACAGTTACCTTGGCCTTATGCTCTGAAAGACGGTGTTTGCACTGACAGCTACTTCAACATCCTTGCTCTTCTGCAAAAGGATTTGTACCCTCCTGGCTGTGCTCAACTCACAGAGGTGAACACATGACCATGTGAGGAGGGTATGCGCCTCCAAACTGCAGGGCAGTCAGTCATAAAGCCCCAGGTATCTCAAGAAATCAGATACTTCCCTATTTTTCTGTTTTCCTCAGCAGCTTGAGTCATCCAGCTTAGATGAAGTTAGAGTCGGCAAACTGAGTAAATATAGACTATCCTTCCAGGAAGATCTGGCTAACAGTTCATGCTAAAGGTAAGGGAACCAGGTTCCCTGGAGTCCAAGGGTCAAACTGACTCCTGTGCTCTGCCACATGTTTCCTGGCAGGCTCTGGGACTGTGACTAAAAGACTTGAGCATGACTTCCTTGGTTTGAAGTGCTTCTTCCCAGCTGTTCCACCTCAAAGCAGCTTGTGTCTCAACCCTACAGGCTACCCATGCATTTATTTGATTTTGAACTTTTCCAAGAGCTTCTCCAACCCTGGAGGACTGAGTCCCTGTGAGTCTTCCCACCCTATCAGCCATGGGAAGATGGCTGGTGACCACAGCTGGGAAACACACTCTTGCCAATATACCCTGACCTAATCTGCAGCCCCAGACTGTGCTGGGGCTCCCAAGCATCTCACAGGGCATTCCCTGGTTTCTTCAAAAGCAGTCTTGCTTCTTTCTCCCTTTGTCATCTAATGTGCCAAGAGCAGGATGTTCACCAAGGGCAGCTCATGGAGGCAGCAGTAAGGTGTGGGTTCAGTGACATTCTCCATGGGAGCGGATCCAAACCAGCACCTCCTGGAAAGCAGCCCTGGCCACCAGGCAGAGAGCTATTAGAGGGTGAATTGCTCCCAACTGCCCCTTTGAAAGAGCCTAATCTTGCTAAACTACACCTCATGCAGTTAAAAGTAAACAGTACACGAGGGCAGGAACAGAGACTTAGTTGGGACAGTTGCTTAAAGAGAGCTCTGGGATCTTGCTGCCTTTGTAGCTTAAGCTCAGATGAAATAGGACTAGAAGCCGGTATTTTCACAGGCTCAGGGAACAGGTACGTTCTCTTGCTATGAACCATGTGGATAAAACACCTCAACAGTCCTCTGGAGTGATCTGTGGGAAAGAAAGTCCCCTTCCACAGAGGGACTTTGAACCCCATGCTCCAGGAACAATGCTGCTGCAAATGGCACCTGCACCAGCTACCTGTCAGCATCAAATCATGAGCAGCTCACCAAGAATTTATTAGTCCTGAATAAATATCTGCTTCACTGAATAATTCCCAGCAGCTGCAGAATATGATTTCCAGGATAACACAAGCATGGGACAAGCCAGGGGACAGTCCCCTTGAGCTTGAATAGTCTGTTCTTGTTCAGAACAAATGACAAAGGAAATGACAAATCAAAATTTGCTTGTGGGAACAAGTTTCTACTGAGTATTAAAGCTATCTCTGGTACATCTGCAGAAATGCCTACACAGTAATTCCAGGTAGTGCAGCAGTAAAGGCAGAGCATTTCTATGCAGGATAGAAAAACAGCCCAGAAAGCAGCCTAGTCAGCTGAGCTCACATTTTATAATGGCAGTTTATCAGTGATATTTGTCTGCATGAAGCAGCCTACACACATGCAGACTAGTGTCTGATCACAGCTTAGCACAGCACGGCTCTTCTGGAGAACGGCACAGGTCAGAACTGGGTCTCAGAGTGCCCAGGCTTCCGAACAGATGTCAGGGTCCATGTGAAGATTTCTGGAAGAGGAGCTTCCCCTCTAGAGTTCATAATCCCCTTTGTTCAGAAAGTACACACAGCAAAAGCATGCGTGGATGCTCCTCCAATTTGCAAGTTTTTCTTGGCTGGGGATGGCCCAGCCTCATGAGCAAAAAGCACATTGCAGACAGGACACACCAACAAACAGCAAGATGTTCTCGCCCCTGAAAGCCAAGAAATTCAAACTCGGTTTGCAAATGAACCCAAGCATCCATCACCATTGAGCTGTCTTACAAAATTCAAAGGCTATATAAAGAAAAACTACCAGACATTTCTTGATGCAATACCAATTCGTCCCAAGTTAAAAATAAGAAGCTTGGCTGTTGTGACATTTCAGTAGAAGCCTGATTAGACATGTCTTGCACAACACTGCCAATTCCTATGAAAAGTTAACTGAAGGACAAAAGGCTACTGGAGTGGGGCAAAATGAAGTGTTTTATATATTTCTGCCAACGGGAAGAACAGCTAGTTGCAGGTATCACTGGCTGTAGAATTTTTAAATAATCATTGGAAAAACTGCTGAACATTCATGTTGAGTTTAGCTCATCATAGAACTTTCAGTTCAAGCGAGGCTCTCTTTCCAGCACTGCTTGGCCACCAGATTTTTAAATTCCTAGTTTATATGCTGCACTTGGAACCCTGATTGCTTTATCTTTTTCTTTAGGCCATTTGGCCAGCATTTCCAGATGCATTTTTCTTCTTCCACCCAGTTGCAATTGCAACATGGGCCTTGGGAACAAAGATTGAGTGCTCTAACTCAGGGCATTCATTCCCACTTCCTTGAAATCCTGTGCAGGCCAACTATCCCTCAATCTCTAACTAGAAACATGCACTGTAGTGTGAATCTATGAATTTATTTATTAAGTCTTAAACCACAGTGCTTTCCCTTTTTACTTCTCATGGCATTTGTCTTATCCCAGCTATTTCTGACAGAACTTCTTCGAAGAGGTATACACCTATTCCTAGTTATTTTCTGTACTTGCCTATCAGTTGCAGACAAGAGCAGAGAATCTTCCTATTAACAGAGGAAATGGCCAAATATTGTATCAGTTGCCATGCAAAATCTTGCAGCGCTCACCTTAGCCTAGCACCATCCAGGATCTGTATGAAGAAAGCTGAAGCAGGGATTTCCAACGCCACACACAGCACGGGCACTCAAAATAGCAAGTGGCTGTGTGAGAAGCTGTCTGAGCCACACGTTCCACAGCCCTGCAGCTCCAGTCCCTCTCACATCCTGTCCTCTCTCACACGAGAAGCTTTGCAGCCCCGAGATTAATAACACTTGTGAGTTCAAAGGCAGTACATGGAACTACTTCAGTTACTCAAGCCAGAATTTAACACAGATGTCCTCTGAAGTACGCTCACTGCTCAGCCACCATCTATTCCAGAATTAGAACTGACAACATTATCTGAAGCTTTGATCTTCCTTAATTGATTTAATTTACTTCATATAAAAACACACATTTGTATATACAAGGTCAGAAAAAATATTTACATATGATTATATATACAAAGTCTCAGTACAGATGCTCACTTTTACGAAATAAATTATGCTAAAATCTGTTTTCTTGAGAATTCTCAATCTCTTAGACATTAGGTCGGACCTGTCTTCTTAGCACCAAATATGTCATTAAGAAAGCTTCTAAACCCCTCCCCCCCTCCATTTACTGTGTTACAAATATATTACATACTAGACAGGAGTATTTACTGCAGGCACATGCAACCATAAACTAGAAAAAGTTATAAATGGTTAAGGCACAATGCTCAATTTAGTACTAATTTGCAATCTTCTAGGTACTAATGAGTATAGAAAACAAAAGTAAGCTAGCTCAGGTAAATACCATTTACTGGTAGTCTCTACTGATCTTTAAAGTTTAGTCAAACAACACAAATGCAAACATAACCCAAGTCAAGATCCTTTCTTGGGTAGAAATATTGCTCAGGAAAACACCAGGCTGCATAATTGGATTACATGAAATGATATATCAGACCCTAAAATTTTGATGGTTGAATTCCTGTTCAGAAGAGCACACTGCAAGTAAATATATACAATTATTAAAAATCCAAGTTTCAACAAACATAACTATAAATAAGCCTAGATGACCTATATTCAGGAAAGGTAGAATAGCAAGGAGTAATATCACATGTGTGCATGGGCTTCCTTAAAACTCCAACATCGCATCAAATTTGGTGATTCCATTTTTGCTGCAGTGTCAATTAACTCATTAACATAAAAGCCACATGCCTTAGTAATTAATTAAGGTGCATTAGGAGAACTAGACATTCTCCAACCTCTTTAGAGACATGCTGAACGTAAATGAGCAGTGAGTAGTTTCCTAAAAGACTGCCCACATACATAAAGCATGTACAAGAACTCTGAGAAGCACAAGGACTCAAGCTAAAAACTGCAATATAAGAGCAAAAAATGAGTTAAATGGAAAATACACTTGCTGGATATGGGATGCTATTGGTACATGTACCATATACCATCAGCATGTCAGCAAAAGTAGAAATATTTAAGAGGTCAAAGACTAATTAAAGAAGCTCCCATGTGTAGCACTGAGGTTCTTAGATCAGTTCTAAGAAAAAAGATGGAACAGATGCACAACTGAGATTCCAATGTGAAAATACAAAATGAGAAATTCATGCACTGAGAGTGATCTTCCTCCGCCGCAGTGGGTAGCGCCTTCTCTGGGGGGAATCTGCAGCTTTTCTTCTTTTTAGCAAAACATAAGGATTTTTACTGGAAACAGTTCCTGTTGGTGTGACTTCTCCTGGTGGTACTGAATTTTGGACATTGTTTTCCTCCTTCACCTTGAAACCAGAAAAGACTTCTTGCCGCAGCTTGCAGAGTTCCAAGGTTGGTTGCAAACTCAATGCTTGGGAAAAACCTTCTGCTTTTTCTGTGAGTGCCAGAATAGACTGCAAAAACAAACCCAAGTATCTCAAGTTACATGGGAAAAACAATGGTTATAAGGCATGCAATATGCTAATGAGATTCTGACAGGCACAAAAGCTTCAGTGTCTGCACAGATGATGCTCAGGATGGTGGGTGGGGGTTGTGAACGCAGAGCTACCACTCCAATAGTGAGGTGTCTGCACTCAGAAACCGAGCAAAGAGTGCACCAAGTTGAAGTGCTCCCTCATGACATCTCTAAGCCCAGGCAGCATCACAGGAACATCACAGCCTGAGATGCCTAAGCAGGTACTGAAGTAACAAATGTCATACTCCAGATGAAGTCATACAAGTCTTCAAAAGATGTTCTGTTTTTCAAACACTGCAGGTTCCAAAATCTCAGCAGAAGTATTTCCTGGGTAATCTCCCTTACTACCACATAAGGGGAAATGCTTTACAAACACAATGCTTTACCTGCTTCCTAAGTACACACACAGGCTTTTTTCTACCAAACTATAAGGAAGATGAGTTAGAACTCGTGTTTTGTGACATACTACCAGATCAAGAGAATAGAAACATATTTCTCTTGGAGCACACGGAGGTCTCACCTGCATTGCTTTGCTGATCTGTTTGGATGCCGCTCCTGTCACCTGCTTCAGCTCTGCGATGTAAGCATCTACAGACAAACACAGCACAAATCACCTTCTGAAACAGAACTCTTTCCCCCACTACTCACTATCAGAAAATGGACAGAAAGCCAGTAAAGTCCCTGTATAAAACCTAAACCTGCAGCACATCCCTTTCACTGTAACACTGAGGATGACAGCTGGCATGGTATACCTCATTAGTAATACTTTTTATCACTCAAACTGCAGTAGAGGCTAGCAGTCCCAACTACAGAAAGCCCCAAAGTTCTTACCTAAAAAACACAAAGCCAGTATTTGAAATAAGAGAACAGTTGTAAAGAAATAATTACACAGAAAGATTTGTTTTCAAAACTTTTAAGCTCACATTACATTTGATAAAACCCATACAGAAACAGAGAATAGGCACCACTGTGAGGAACATGAGATTTAGAAAACCTATTTTAAGGAGGGCAAATAAATCTTCCTATGTCTCCAACAAGTTGGCTTTTACAATAAAAGCTGCTTTTTTTTTTTCTTCTGGCTTAACTTATCAAGCATCAACACCAAAAAGAACCAAGTATAAATAACACGAACTGCATTAATTCTGCTGTGCTAATAAGGAAACAACCCCCAGCTTTCAGGAACACTGAAGCAGGTAGCAGGTGCAGAACACCAGCATATATTCGACTGTAACAGCAATATTATAAGATCACTAATACTTTAATTCTATATTCAAGAGTTAAACTCTAGCCTATTATGAAACTGTTTTGCACGTTCTCCATCCACAAAACTTAAAACGAGACTAGCATGCTTCTGGGAAGTAAAGAGCCTCATCTCCATTACTATTCATTTTCTGAAGGGTTTCACCACTGCCTGCAGTTGGACATGGTGTCAGGTGGTGCACACAACCCTAAACCCTGTCAAGGTTAAACAAGGCATTCTGTTTTGAAGTCAATCTTATTAGTGCTGTCAAAAGTATTTTGAAGTCAGTCACTGCATTCTAGCTCAGGGTTACAGTGATTCCCTGCTGAAACATGGTAACCACCAAGAGATGGTGCTTGTTCAACTGTCCATGTATCCAGTGTGCTGGTCAGAGCTGGTTTAGGAACACTAGATCCCTACATGAACCTGGACACTAAAATGCACCATCATTCAGTTTGGAAGAATTAGCAGTCCAGAAGCAACCTCTTTAAACACATCTCACAGCAATATGGAAGGGCGTTCTGTAAAATAAGGATATATGTACAATGAAGCACTCTTACAATAAAGTATTGGGATGAGAAGGCTGGTAACCTTATGAAATGGTAAGGACGGAGTTAAGTGAAAGAAGAAATAATTATTTGGATTATTGTACAGAAAGACTGAAACACAGTTAAATAAAATGTGCCTGCAAGAGTTTGGCTTGACATAGATGGCATTATATTCCTCAGTGTTCAAGGCTTTCCAAAACATAGGGAAATGAAACAAGGAAATGAAAGGTATTGAGTAATCTAAACATTTTTGGTTTCTGGCCACTGTACTTGCTAAACTGGTATACATAAACTTCCCAAAGACTACTACATAATACCAAAATGCTCCATAAACTCCATGGTATCTTTGCTGCAACTTTGCAGTTATCAAACCCAAAACCACAATATCATAGTGTAAACTGCTACTAACTTGCAAGTAGTTGACTGACATCCGAAAAGCCTGGATTTGGACACTAGAAACCAAAAGGAACTCAGATATAAAGTGACCACTATACTGCTCCTACTGGCTGCTTTGCTGCACAGGCTGGCACTGCTGGAAACCATGTCTCCCTCCACAAAGAGGAAATTATGTTTAGAATGAAGTCAGATCAGCAGGGTGAGAACTTAAAAATCCAGCTCAGCTCCTCAAACTATGAGCACTGCTGCTTGTTACATCATGTGCAGTAATTCATAGTGAGGGTTCTCACTTTTCAAATTCGAACTGCACTGCTGAATTCTGTCATTTTTCAATACTTAACAACAGGCAACACAAAACTTCCCATTTATTAAAGCCAGCTTCAAAAGAGGACATCCCAATCATCCACTGCAAAATCCATCACCTTGTTCCAAGGAGTCTGTACAAGGCATCTTTCCAAACCATGCAGCAAACTTAAAATGTTGTTTGCAGCTCTGTTCCTTCATCAACCCTCAAAAGTGACACAGGCATGATGAAATCTGTGTCCTACTTGGCAAGTTAGGAGAGTCAACACTGCCACCACTGAGTCCTACACAACAGCTTTCAATTCCCTGAAGGAACTGACTGGTTAGGAAGAGAGGTTGAAGCATTTCTAGTACTCATGCAAAAGGAACACAAGAACAGATGAAGTACAATGTCAGTGATCCATCCAGTTCCCCACCTGGCCTCCACCAGTGATGAAGGAAAGAAGTAAGGAAGCCTTCTGGGGGTAGCTGTGTGACCATTTCTCCCCAACACACACACAGAGAGGCCTTTGCCAGCTTTTTGCCTTCAAGTACAGTGCCTAACTGCAGGCAGCACTCAGAATGAGAGAAATGGACACCGTAAAACTCAGGCAGCAATATATTCACTTATGAAAAAACTTCTAGCTTTTTAGAATTTATAAACAGCCAATTTTAAATAAGCTTGAAGAAAGAAAACTTTTTAAACATGTACAGATAGCCAGTAAGTGAGGCAGTGTTACAGTTGCCCTCCCCACAAAATCTTTACCTTGAGAATCCAGAGGTCTTATGTCTGCTGGTTTCACCACAGGCTGGTAGAGCTTCTACATATTAAAAAAAAAAACAAAAAACACACAAACCAAAATTCTGAAATACCCCCTTGGTTTAACAGATATCTAATATACATATAGCAATCAGAACAATGGAGATTGTGGTGGAATTATTTAGATCAAGAATGTATTAGAGGTACAGATTATAGATACTTAGTTACTGAAAGTAGCATACTGGTTAACACAGTTACACTCACTGTAAACACATCTCCAGAATCTGCTTTAGTTTGCAGAATTCTGATTATTATAGCATAAGAACTGACATCCAGGCATTTTGGAAGAAGCATTGCCACCTACTGCATGACTGAGGAAAAAACTGCTCTGGCTTCTCAGGAGCCATTCACAGAACCAGCATGCTTTCACAGAACCACAAACTCCAACAATGGGTACATTAAGACAAAAAGCTAAGAAAAAGAAAAGTACTTAAACAACTACACTCTAGCCCTACAGTTACTTAGATAGAGCTAAGAACACTCTGTTCCACAAACTGTGAATCTTGTGACCTTACATCAGTTAACTGAGACATGAAGTAAACTAGTAATAACTGAACGTAACTCATACTCCATTACATTAAAGGTGGAATTAGAAGCAGCTAACAGAGAAGAAGGAAACAAATCAAGGCTAAGGGAATAGAAGTTAGATCATCTGCAAGTTAGTTCTCGACTTCAGGAGCTGTCCCTCAACCTTCTTCAAGCAAAACCAAGTAGGGGAAAGCTAATTATTCCTTGCTGTACTTTTGGGAGAAATTTCTTCACAGTTCACACAACTTCTTAGCAAGTCTGCAGTAACAGCTCCAAGCAGGAGAACAAACATGGGTTGCATTTATCTCAAACTCTACAGACCATATTGACTGAAAACCCACAGGACGATCTCTTGCTTTGGCAATTACAAGGAAATCACCACAATAAATGAGTGGTTCTCTCCAGACAAATCACATCTTCATGGCTGCTCTTTATGCCTCAGGAAGCATCACACAATTAGCTATGGTGATGAAAGAACCCAAGAAATCCTCAACCAAAACCAAAGAAACTACTGATACCTTTACAAAGTAGCTGAGAGATTAAAAAAAGGACCATTTACAGAGATAAACTAAGCTTTCCATATTTCTTACATATATTTCTACATATTCTTACAGGGATAAACGAAACTTTTGCAGACAATTTTAATTAAAATAATCATCAAGTTGTGGTAGTGTGAACTTCAAAGAGATCAGCAAGAGAAAGAAAGTAGCATGAGAGGTATTCCACATAAGTAATCCATTGTGGCACTCAGGTAGGTCTTGTTAAATCTTGGTGTTACGCAATAACATATTTTATTTAAGTTGATTTTGTTTGTTTTACATACTTAATACATTGACAAAACAGAGAGATCACAAAAGGTAATATATGTTAGAAAATATCTCAGGTGTAAGATGAAAGTGCACCCATGCACTTTTCCTTACTGTAAATCATCTCTGCCTGGCTAACCTAGAGAGTTAACTAATATTTGTCAATTTTAGTCCTCAGAAATGCAATGCAGGCTCCTACACAACTTTCTAAAAAAATCCCTGTTTGCTTTAGTATAGAATAGCTGAAGTTGGAAAGGACCTCTAAACATCCTCCTGAAAGTTGGGCTAACTAGGGCAGGTTGCTCAGAACCTCATCCAGTCAACTCCATGAATCTCCCCAAGGATGAAGACTGCACAGTATCACTGGACAGCTTGTGCCAGTGTTTGACTCTGCCTCAGCCTCTTGTTTTTTTATGAAAGGAATCCTAGTTAATCAGGAGGTAAACAAAAGAGAGGTCTAAGATAACTTCAGGGAAGAAATCCAGCAGCTGAGGACACGACTGGGTTGTTTAATGCCAGTAATTACTTTACACTGCGTGTCAAAAATCCCACAGAATTTACTGTGCTGATTCATTAATCCACACTGCCTTTTTTCCCATGCTTTACTGAAAGTCATTACTCGATGTAGTTACTAGCTCAAAAAAGTGCTTAGGAAGCCACTGACATTTTTTTAAGTCATACACTGCATGTGATACTATCTGTATGTATGTAGTGCAACATTTAGTACCTCAACCAGCCCTTGAGCAAGGGCTTCAATAACCTGGAAGATAACTAGGTGCCTACTGGTTTGTAAATCTTGAGTCACAAGGACGAAGCAATATGCTTCAGTTTCTTTGTGCTACAGACACAATTCAGACACAGTCACAACACTCTGTAGCTACCCTTAGTTACTTAGTAAACTTACTAAGTTTAAACCTTGTTACTGCAGAACCAGTTCTTAAAAAAAAAAAAACAATTTCATTTTATGATTAAGAATCAAAAGCAACCATGGGAAGGAGCTTAAAGGTCAACACTGGATGATCGATTTCTTAATGCAAAGGTTTTCTGGAAGTCTTAGATCACTCACCAACATCTCTTGCTCTGCTTTCATGGTCTGGATAGCATGCACCAGGATCTTTTTAGGCCACCGTTTACGCCTAGCTGTTGTCTCTGCTACTAAGTCATGAAATTCATCCTCCACAATTTCCGTATTGGAATCTGAAAGTGACAAACACACATAGTTACTGTGGAATTCTCAGACAATTTTTTTTTTTTTGAGACAAACTTATCAAGAAAAAGAAATTTTAGATCTCAAACTAAAAAAAATCATGCATGATTATCAACATAGAAATAAATGGATGTCTTGAATCTCCCTGCTAAGGCAGTATAGAGATTGGAGCATAACATGATGCTGGCCAGTTATTTTGAAGTAAATTATCTGGGGGGGGGGAAGGCAGAGAACCATCCAGGGGAAAAAATAACAAATATATTTCCCTATGAACTCTGAATCTGTGAAGAAAGTCTTAGGAAGCAATGGCTATCTTTTAAGGAGAAAAATGGTTTATCTGTGTGACTTACAAGCATTAAACAAACTCCAACTGTACAAACAGTAACTGGAAGCCTAACTGATTTTAAATCACACAGTGCACAAATAAGCAGTTTAACATTTAAATTCACTGTTCCCACTCATGTGTTGAGTATAACTTGCAAGCCATGCAATGTTTGCAATCTAGTGGTAAAGAATGGATTTTGAGCACCCTCTCTGGGTCACCCTCTGCAGAATCAAGTGATTGCAAAATTCAGAAAGGAAAAGTCAAGGTTCCAGGAGTCTGTGTGTTTGTTCTGGTTGTTTGTTGTAAGATCACCATTAAACCATTCAAGTAATGACAGGAAAGACTTAAGCCACTGGTCAACATAAACATGGAAGGCACAAAATCTTCCATGATCTCTTGGTGATTCAAACTGGATCAGAGATAGGCACATGAGTAAATCTATATCTAATTAAACACCAGAATACACTCCTTTACACCTGCTTTATTCCAGCTGTGGGCAGATGACAGTGTCTCAGTTTTGTATCATGAGTTCTGTGCATTTTTGACCTTGTAGTCAAAGCAGCTGGAGTTTTATAATTCTAGAAGTACAACTGCAGACACTTCAAAGAATCAGAGAATAGTCTGGGTTGGAATAGTCTGGGCCTTTAAAGGTGATCTAGACCAAGCCCCCTGCAATGAGCAGGTACATCTTCAACTAGATCACATTGCTCAGAGCCCACAGTTTGCTCAGAGCATCCCCATCAAAAAACAGTTCAACGTTTTTGGTTTAACAGCGCCACAGTTAGCTCAATGCATCTGTATTTTTACCTCTGTGTAACTGCAAAAGGCATTATGCTGCAGGCAAAGAGCACCTAAAGCCAACACAACTGAGTGAATGAACAGCACTGGAATTTTCTTTGGACACCAGACTACCAAGAATCTCCACTACTATTATTCAAAACACAGTAATTATAAAAACATTGTTTCTATTACATATATTTATATAGCAATAATTTTCAACACTTAATCTGTATATTAAATAGCAGCAACAGACAGTCTCCTAGGGCCTTTTGATAGATCTTTGGTCACTGACCCCAACACTCAGGCTCTCCAGAGCCTCCTGCTCACAGTAGGGTCTACGCCCCTGTCAAAACAGGTTGCTCACAGCACTTTTGTCCAGATGGGTTTTGGAAGCCTCCAGCGCTGGAGACAAGCTCTGGGCAGCCTTTTCCAACGCTCTGTTATCCTAAGAATGAGTTTTTACTTCCATACATCAAGTCAGAACCTCCCTTTTCAATCGGACCCCTTCTACCTCAGGACAAAACCAAACCAAAACAAACCCAGCCAGCAGGAAGCGAATGGAAACGGACGCCTACCGCTCCGCAGCCGGGAGTCATCCGAGGCCTCCTCCCAGGGCTGCCCGTTGATGGTGACGTTCTCCCGCACCGCTGTCTCGAAGTTCTGCAAGGCAGGGGACAGACTGAGAATCCAGCGGTCCATCCGTGAATTTATCCATCCCTCCTGCAGGAAGGGCCCGTCCCGCCTCACCGCCCTGCCCGGGAGCCACCCCGGGGCAAGCCGCCCCCTCACCCCGGGTGCCGAGCGCTGCCAGCCGGGCCCTGTGCCGGCACAGGACGTTCCCACTTCCCGCTCACCCAGAGCGCCTCCACCTCGGCGGCGGCCCCGCCGGGCTGTCCCTGCGCCAGGGCCCGCACGAAGGGCGCGCACAGCTCCAGCACCGCGCCCAGCCCGCGCCGCGAGCAGCAGCGCACCAACGGGTNNNNGGCCCCGCGTCCGCCTCCCCCGGCCCCGCGCCCTCCGGCTCCGGCGGCGCCGCCATTTCCCGCCTGGAACGCGGGGAAAATGCCGGCCCGGAAGCGGAACCCGCAGCCGCCCGGTGCCTTCCCGCCGGGCGCGGCATGGCGGGGCCGGTGGACTGCCACTGCCACCTGGCCGCGCCCTGCTTCCAGCCGGTGAGGCGCGGCGGGCGGGGGGAGTCCCGGGCGCGGCCCCAGCGCTGAGGCGGTGTTTGTCCCTTGCAGGACGTGGCGGCCGTGGTGCGGGCGGCGGAGCAGGTGAGGCGGGGCCGGCCTGAGGGGACCCTCTGCCCGCGGCCCCGCCGGTCTCAGCGGGCCGGGGGTCTCTGTGTGCCGTAGGCGGCCGTGTCAGCGCTGGTGGTGGTGTCGGAGCAGGCGCGCGAGTTCCGGAGCGTCGTGGAGCTGTCTGAGAGGTGCGAGGCCGGCGGGGATTCCGGCGCCCGCCCGTGTCCCGGCGTGGGTTCGCGCCTTGGGGATTGACGGGGGATGCCCTGTCCCCCTCCGTCAGGCCGGCCCTTCTTGTCTTTAAACCTGCGCTCTCTGTGGGCTCTTGGCGTTAAACTTAGGCTCTCTGTAGTCTTTCACACTCTCGCTATCTATTCCATGCCTAGATTCCCAGGGTTTGTTGTGCCATGCCTGGGAGTTCACCCCGTTCAAGAGGTTTCTCCAGAGGAGCAGCGCAGTGTTACTTTGAAGGTAAAATGTGGCCTCTAAAATACTGCTGGGACTTTTCAGGACAGACGACAGGATGCTCCGGTCTGCCTGATTTACCTTCAGGTCTGCCCAGTGGTTTTTCTGCTCTCTGTAATGCAAGGAGACCCAGTGGACCAAATCCCAGGCTCTCTCCATTTTTCCCTATCAGCCCTTAAAGCAGAATTGTTCTCTGGAGTCATCTGGCTGTATTGCTGCAGTGAAATGGTTTTAAAAATCCCAGGTGTGCTTTGCTTACAGCAAACAACATGTGCAGATGTTCCTTTGTTAACATGGGAACTGGAAGGCAACTGTTTGTGGCTTTGTCCTAAAAATCTCAGGGAGCTGTCTGCAGCTTTTTTATGTTACCAAGTTATTTTGGGACCTTGTTTTAATTACCTCTGCTGCTACTGTGAAAAGTAGCTCAGAAGTATTTAGAATAAGGTTTCAATATATATATATATAGAGAGATAGATATAGATAAAGAATGTAATGTGTAATGAAATGGTTATTAAGAAGATAAATCCTTCAGACTTCTAAAATCTGACTGCACAGCTCGCAGTAATGACAAGTTGCAAAGTATTTCAGAACAGTGAAGGAAATGCCAATTTAATCATAATGTGGGTTCATAACCCTTTCCTCTTATAAAGGCAGTGAGAGTTGCATCTTTTATTCTTGCAGGATCTGGATGCTGCGCTGCCTCTTATAGAACTTTACAAAGACAAATTGGTGGGGATTGGAGAAGTGAGTGGAATTCTGTAACTTGTTTAAATCTCTCAAGCAGCAGCTGTCACTGGAATTACAAAAACTGAGTCAATGCTTGTTTTTCTGTATGTGGTAAGAATTGCTATCAGCCTGAACAAGCATTAAGTCTGATTGGTAGTTCTCTTAATGTGCTTTCCTGTATAGATTTGCTTGATTCCTTCTTTTCCTTCGTTATTGCTATTAGAAAATAGATGGAATTTATGCTGCTGGAGTTGTTGGAAGATTAGATATTTATGCTGTCTCATGTTATACCCAAAGGCAGATCTTTCCTGCTTTCTTCTCTGACAAAGTTAGGCTAAGCTGTGATATCAGTACACCACGATGACTTGTACAGTTCTTTTTTTAATCCTTCATCTATCTGTATCCATCTGTTGTCTCCTGTCTTACATTTGTTTATAAATTAATTGAGGCTTTAGGATGGAGTCTGCCTCTGTTTGTGTGTTAGTACCAGAGGCACTTACATCTGGTAGTGCACTGGCTACAGAAAAAGCGGGTTTTGGCAGAACTTTCTAGCTAAATTTGCCATGTTGTACTGTATATGGAGAACTTATCTTCATCTAACTTTGAATGGGACTGCTTTGACAGACTTTAAATTTTGCCTGAACATGTTTAGATCAAAAAAGTATAAAATTATTTGCTAGAGATTGGACTAAAGCTATAGGTTAAGGTCAGAAATTTTACTTATACTGGAGATCCATGTTTGAGACTTAATCTGACATAATATTCAATAGAACATAAACCCCCAAAAAACCAGTTACAGACTACAATGTTGAATACCCTTGTTAGTAGCTGTCTGCCCACAAATGCTTTCATTGTTGAAAAGTTTATGGTTAAGAATGCATTCTTTTTTTGAGTTAAGCTGCAGCTGAGCTCATTTTAATTGCAGTCTCTAGTATACATAATTTGAAATTCTTTGCAGTTTTGAAGCATGGTATGCCTATGTATGTCTAATTATGGTTTTTTTAAGTGTTAGGTCTGTAAAACCTTACCCTTGTCTTCTTGTACTGTAGGTTGGACTAGATTTCACTCCCAGATTTGCCAGCACTGATGAACAGAAGGAAGGACAAAGACAGGTTTTGATCAAGCAGATTGAGCTGGCAAGAAGACTGGATTTGCCATTGTAGGTTTTGTTTATACCAGAAGGAGGATTTGCCAGGTCTCAGCAACATGTTGAAATACTTCCCAGGATTTATGGTTATTAAGTGCCCACGGAACTTTTCTTAGATGGATTAAACTGGCATAAGTGTCCTGTCAGTCTCCAGTTTGAGATTTAATTTTAGAATTTTCCTTATGTTTGCACTTCTGTACAGACATCTTATGTCCCCTGTCCATGCTATGTTGTTCCCATTAATATATGCATCCCTGGGGTTTTTTCTTGATAAAAGTTGTAACACAAATTAATTATTTTCATCCCAAGGTACTGTTAGTTTGTTTGTATATGCAAAAAAGAAAAAAGTATTTGGCTAAATTTGCTAATGCTGGTCCTCTCCTTGCTGTGCAGAAATGTTCATTCCCGCTCAGCTGGAAGACCAACCATTAATCTCCTGAAGGAACAAGGTATGCTTTTTTAATGCATTTCCTTTGCCATGGCTTTTGCCAACAGGATTTCTCCAGTTGTGCCATGTCCTCACATCAGTTTGTGTGTGTTTAACTCAGGAGCAGAAGTGTGGAGTTTCTGTGTTAATTCTGTATGGGACCAAGGTCCCATTGGAAGCTGACATGGCAGCCCTGCTGTAACCCTGCTGATGATGTGGTTTGCTTTATTTCTCCAAGGTGCTACCAAGGTGTTGCTCCATGCCTTTGATGGGAAGCCGTCTGTAGCCATGGAAGGGGTGAGAGCTGGATACTACTTCTCCATTCCTCCTTCCATTATAAGGAGTGAACAGGTAACGTTTTGTCCCGGTTCCGGCTGGGGTCTGCTCCTTCTCCATGCATTGCACATTTTTACTTTGGCGGAATTTCTGCCTGGGGCTTTTGCCTTAGCTGGACTTTGGATGGGGAATTCTGGCTACAACAGCTCAGCTATTCCTGAGAAACAAGGGGGGTTTTTCTCATTTTATTGTGTTTTCTGGTGAACTGTTCAGAAGATTCTGTCACTGTACTGTTTTACAGTAGGGACATGACATGTAGAGAAGGAGTAGTTTTTGTGATAGGACTGCTTTCTGTGATAAGCTCAGGAAATGTAAGAGAGTAAAAAGTTTGATTCAAGTGGAGGGAGCATGAGGGGTGGATATAAATGGGGATGAGGTTAGGTACTTAGGAAGGAAAAACTGCGGTTGAGAGGTAAAGCAGAGAGGAGGAAAAGGAACACAAATATTATATGCACAGAAAACAGCAAATTAGAATTGCACTGGCAACTCTATAACTGCAATATACCATAACTGTGATTTAATAAATAACAATGAATTCAGCTTTGAGATAATAGTGCTTTGGATATTTAGAAAACAGGACAACCCTAATTTGAAGGGACTTTTGGAGCAGCTCCCAGTGTTCTTGCTTCCATACAGAAATTGTTGATAAAATGTAGACTGTGGCACCGAAGTTCTTTTGATGTTGCCTCTAAATGTAGGGAATATCCTCCCTTCATGTTTTTTTCCCCACAGTTTTAAGTGCATAAAGCATTTAAAGGCTGTCTTACTTTCTTCAAGAAGCAGAAGCTTGTGAAACAGCTGCCGCTGGAAAATATGTGCTTGGAAACTGACTCTCCTGCTCTGGGGCCTGAAAAACAGGTAAATGATGGGAGAGAGGGATTTCTGTGTATTTGTATCCAAACCCACACCTAGTGGAGGTCAGCTACTGGCACGGGATAATGAAGTAGCCTTAAGCATGGTTACAAGAGAGGAAAGAGACCACCAAGGGAACTTAATCCAAGAGTAATGGACACGTGTCATCTTTCTGCCACATGTGCCACAATGTGACTGAAGTTGTGTCAGAAAGTACTGAATCTGAAACACTTGTGATCTCTAGGGGTGTGTAATTAGGTTGGTTTTGTTTTTCAGGTGAGAAATGAACCCAAAAATATTTACATTGCTGCTGAATACATTGCGAAAATTAAAGGAATTCCAGTTGGAGAAGTTATAGAAGTGACTACACAGAATGCACTAAAACTATTCCCTAAACTTCAGCACTTTATTCGGATATAGATTCAGAAACTGAAATATATGATGTTGCAGAAAGTATTACTTGTGGTGTAATTAATAAAACCAATGTATATCTTGTGTTAAAGTGGAGTTTTGCAGTTGGAAGTTCAAGAAGGAAGGAGTGTAATATAGCTGGATAGGATGAAAATAGGGAATTTCTCAAAGGTCTTTGGTGTGCACCGTAATAGTCTCTTGAGTGTGATCAAGACACATGGTTCCTTTGCATCTTTCATGTCTCTGAACAAATAGTTTGTAAAGAAGAGCACCATAAAATTGTTGGTTTAGTTTCTCAGACTGCTTGCCAGCTGCTCCTAGTATGGGAGATGGCTACAGTACAGTGCTTGCTGTCCCCTTCACTTCTTGTTTCTGCTGACTGAAAGCCACAAGTTGTGGACCCAGTCATGATAAGAAAGCTCCTGTTACAACTGGCAGACTACACATCTCTTTCTGAGCCATTAAAAGAACCCAGCTGGATGGACATTCTCTATTCTGTGCTGACTGGACTCTGAGGGGTGCAGAGGCAACATCTTTTCAGAATACAGTTGGAAGAATTATAGCCCTTTTCCTTGGCTACTTTAAGATGGATTTTTAAAATACTTTACTTTTTTAATTGTGTTAAAAGCAAAAAGCCTGGGTTTGGTCTTAGTTCAAGGACTCACTCTTCTGACTGCTCAGTATCAGGAGACACAGGGTGTGACAGGGAGACAAGCTCAATTTTGTGATATCTTGGAGGTGTTCTCTGTAGATTCAGCTATGTTGTCCAGTGTGCTAAAGCTGAATCTGGTGCTCCGTCACAGCCCCTGTGTAGATGTGGGTTTGTGAAATACTGATAAAAACTTTGTTGATTATAAACCAGCAATTGAATGAGGTGAGTTTTACATGGCACTCAGGTGTTCTGAGGGCCACTAAGAAAGTGGAGGTTTTCTCTCACTATGGGGTGTTGTGATAAGGCACGAAATGATGACACAGACACTGCTGTTCTCGAGGGGAACAAAAAAGAAGAACTTTATTTTCTGACTCCAATATTTATAGTTTTCCAAAGGTGACAGTGGATTGGAGGGTGACAGTGCCACCTCTCCAATGCCACTGGACAGACCAAGGGTCCATCAATTCTCTCCACCTCTATGAAAGAATGCAAAACATAGGTTATTTACAGAACTGTGTGTGAGAAAGTTTGTTGAAAGAATGTAAACATCAGAAGGCTTAACAAAGTCTTACAAAATCAGGGCGACAATGGGGAGTTTTACCAGGTCAGTGAAGAAAATACACAAGCATTAACTTAATTCATGACCACTTCATGGGGGGAGAAGGGGCCAAAGCTTGCAGTGTAAGTGATGCCCCGTCCTAAAGTTCTGTTTTCCTCCACCTCATCTTCCTCAGTTTCTTAAAATCACATTGTCGGGGGTTTTTTTCGTTGCCTTTATCAGAACAGCTGTTCTTCTTTTTGACTAGAAGTAGCTTATTAAGTTTAAACATGTGTTCCTAAACAGTTTTCAGCCTGCAGCAAACAACCAAACTTGCACAATTTGTCTCTACTGCAATGTGTATTTAGAGCAGCAACCACCTGGATCTCTACTGAGTGTTTGATCCAGTGGAGAGCTGTTGCTTATCCTGGATCTGCAGGTACCATTTCCACTAAATGGGGCGAAGGACAGAGTTTGCCTGCAGATGGTGCTAGGGAACAGGTGTGCAATAGTCAGAATATTAGCGTGAGCCACTTAGTGAATAATCATGTCATTGGAGATGCTAAACATGTGATACATAGCAGGCAGCCTTATGTGGGCTTCCTGCTGCCTATGTGTTGGGAAGTCTCCCAGTATTGCTTGGAAATGCAATTATGTGAGGAGGTGCTTGAGGTAAGAAGTCAGGCAGCATCCAACTATTTGCTAAGTTTTGAGCTAATTATTTTTCTCTATGGAATCCTTAGCATTGGATGAAAGCACTGGTTTTGCAAGAAGGGGGAATATTAAATAGGCTCCTCAAAATTCGTGTCTCTGCAGGGGGGTGGTACTGCTCTGGTTCAGCCTTAGCCTTGCTGCAGGATGATTCCTGACTGAATCCCTTTTGATATGGCAGAAACCTTCAACACACTCCCATCCTTGAGCTCCTGTGTGGGCAGGGCACTGCTGAGGGTGGGCAGCCCCTGGGGACCATGGGGCTCTGGGACAGCCCATGTTCCTGGGCCTGCAGCAGCAGGCCTGGAGCTGCTTTGGGTGGTGCAGGAGTGTGGCTGAGGCTAGCAAAGGAGGCACGGAGTTGCTTCCCCTGGGCCAGGAAGAGCTGGCATTACAACAGCGATGGGCAGGGTGAGCCTGGCAGGGGCCCATGTTAAAACAAACCAGCTTTGTCCTCTCCTCAGACCTGCGGCGCCACAGCTAAGTCATGGAGTAGGTGACCTGGAGTTCCAGAAAAGGAAAACACAGTGTCACTCCCACTCTGCCTTGGCATCCTTGACACTTTCAAGACACTTTTTAACAAGTCTCAGAAGCAGCACTCTTTTTCCATTGCAGCTGGTTTGGCTGTGCAAGTTGTGCCCCAGTCCGGCAGTCAGTGTTGGAGGTGGGCAGCAGGTGCTGGAAATAAAGTTGTTGCACTGCACAAGAAACTCTTTAAGGTGCTCACTCAGGACTCGTGGTACTGCTGTGCAGTGAGGAGGAAGTATAGTTTCTGAGCTGGAAGATGTTGCTGATCCTTAGCAGTCATTCTGTAACGTTACCTCAAAGGGGGTATTTAACAGAAGGCTTGGATTTATGCCTGCATTCCCACAGTGACATCTGGCCTGGAGAGGCTGGGGAAGGCAGGATGGCTGGGGGGGAGCTGCCTGGCTGTACACTGTGAAGCCCTGCATCCCCACAGAGGTTGGCCTTAGCAGCATCAGTGTGTGTCCTGAACCCTGTTGCAAGCCTCTCAGACCTGGATAAACCATGCCTTCCCCTAGGTAACACAAGAGACTGAAATGGCCAAGGATGTATTGGAGGAAGGAGACAGTGCAACTGTAGTTTTTGGGAAAGTTACTGGTGACCCAAGTTTTCTTTTCAGCCATGCCATCAATTTTGGAGGTCACACACAGGCCAGGTGACCTCCGTCTGAGAGAGGGGAATGGCACAGATTGTCTGCAGCAGTGTGGAAAGTAGTAAGTCTCAATTTCCATCATACCTTCAGCCATCAGCTTTCCATGGGATGCTACAAGCAGTGGATCGTGTGGCACTTTGCAGGATTCCCCATGTCATTTTACCTTGCAGGATGTACATGGAGTGATAAAAAAACCAAGAAAGGGCTCGATCTGTGCTCACTGAAATAGTCTTTGGAGGGCTGCAGCCCTTTGGAGGACTCCCAGGGCCTTTCTTCGGAAATTTGTTTTTAGCCATGGATTAACAGGGCCTGAATCTCCTGAACTTTGGGACAAAGTGCTCTGAGTTTTTCCAGAATTTGACATGGGAACAAGTGAAGAAATGGTAATGAGGCCAAGTTGATGAAATGCTGCTCATTCCTGCTATTTATCATGATAAGAGTTTAGACTAAAGACTTTTACTGGAGGTGCTTCCAACAGACTCCTATGCAATGCATAGATAGGCTCTTAAGAGGCAAAAGCAAATAAATAAATGGCTGGAAATGCAACTTTCCTCACTTATGAAGTTCTGCTTTTGTTTGTTTTTTCATTAATGCAGGCTGGGGTTCAATCCTCTGTTCCCATTACAGAGCAGGAAAGTGAATTTGAGAAAGGCACTGGCTTAGCATAAAGCTTTATTGTTCTCCCCTTTGCTTTCTATATGCAGTACAAAGACACTACTGAGATCAAAGAAAGGATATGAATTACCATAGCACCCAGTTGTCTCAACATTTTCCTCTTCAGCAGGTGGTTATCCATCTGTTCATTTTCCCTGCTGGAGTTGGCTTTTCTATCAGTGTGAATCTCTTGGGGCATGGGAATGTAAACCCTGATTGCACTGGGTGGTGGCCCCACCATGCAGTGAGTGCCAAGTGCCTCCTCCAGGAGCTGGTGGATTTTTATGCCCCTTTGAACTACTGTGAATGACAAAACAAGGAGAAACCATAGTGAGAATCAAGGTCCTGATGAACCCTGGGGCAGGAGCTGATGCCCATCTCCCCAGATGCTTGGTGCTGTGCTTAGAGAGACTCTGCTTGGTGCAAGCACAGAAGATCCGTGCCTCTACCCTGCTCAGGTCTGCTGATGAAAACAGGGGCAGGATTCCCTTGAGGAAGCAGAAGTGATCAGTCACTGGAGTGCCTCTGAGGCATGGCACTGTGGACAAGGAGTCTGGAGGAGTGCATCTGATGTCCTACCAAAGTGGCAGAATCAATATATACGGATTTCGTCTGCAGTGTCTGGGTGAGGTAATAAGCCTTGTACCCTGCCTCCGAGGGCAGGTGAGGCGGCTGTGTGGTGTCTGTGGGCAGTGATTCAGATGAGCCCAGCCTGCCATGGCACAGCCCTGGCTGTGTTGAGGCTGAGCAAAACTTCAGCTGCCCGTACAAGGCCGAGTACAGCTGCCTGAATGACCACAAAGCAGCAGCAACATGTGGGGAAGCAGAACCACATCCCCCTGTTCTGGAAGTGCAGTGGGTGA